TACCGAGCGATCGAAAATGGGCAACGGCTCTACTGGGCACACGCCCGCCATGTTCTTCAATCCACAAATTACTTCTTGCTTTCGCCACATCGGAATGGCGTTGCGCCGTTCCGCCATACCTGTCAGTGGTGGCAGGGTGCCACAAGTCGATGACAAAATGAAATGTTGAAATTTCTGTGGTGGCAATTGTCCATACTATTAGTCTTTGATTTTTGTCAGGTCTTCTGAAGCCATTATAGCGGGGTAGTGGATATTGTATTTTTGAGGGCTATATTCGGGACTAGACTCTAATCGGGAAAATCCGTTAAAACAATCAAATACAGTTTTCATTTTGAATGGAAAAGTTCATTTACCTTGGCTAGTGTTTTGGAGCACTCTTGGAGGCAGCGGACTGCAATTCGCTGCACTCGTACTGGTTCTTGTAAAGAACGTAAGGTCGGTGACCTTGGTTTAGCTTCCTCTAAGCAAAGAGCTACGGCAGCCCCGCTGCAATTGATATGTTGGCAAGAAACGATGAGAAATGGTATAAGTGATAGCAGTAAAAAAAGATAGGAGCAATTGATATGTTGGCAAGAAACGATGAGAAATGGTATAAGTGCTGGCAGTAAAAAAAGATAGAAAGCGAGGACTGTATTTTAATGAAGACACCAGCAGCATGAGTTTTCAAAGCTAATACAGCAGGCTGTATGGTGCTGAAGCTGTTATTACAAAACAAATCTTAAGGCTGTCTAGCAGCGTTTGGGTGTAGGAGTAAAAGACTGATAGCAAATGGTGCGGCGGTGAATAATAGAATAACAATTAGACTATAATGGTATGGAAGTGAGTCATTAACTTTATAATTATTACAGCATACTACGGCAATACTGTCGTTAATCACGCAGTCTGGCCCTGTATTGGTCTGCGCGAATGCAGTGACAAGGTTTGCATGTAAGCGGAAAAAGTTCTTAAAGTTAGAGTATCTTCTAAATAGTCATTGCCATGGCTCCGACGACACTTTTATAACTTCACGTAAAAGCACGTCGCGGTTACCCGATGAGCCCTTGATGATATGATACGTGCATCTCACCTGTCCGAAATTCTTGAATTTGATTACTTTACGTCCAGCATACTTTTTCTGGTAGTAAGTCAAGGCGATGCGAAGCTGCGCTGTGTTCAACAAATCACGCCCCTTTTCAACATAAAGTCTATGTATTTGTAGAGCAGCCATGGCATTCTGATTGCGGTTGGCTTCGAGACCTGCAAACAATGCTGTCTCCACTTTAATTTGAGAGTAGCTAGCAACATGCTCAGATTCCAATTTGACAAGAAGGTGGACAATATCCGGGTCTGAAAATTGCATTCGTAGTCTGGACAAGATGAATTGTCCGAAATCCTCTCCATTCCAGGTCATCAAATGATCCCACGTCTGGAACAATTCATGCTTCAGCAGCTTTTCACCGTTGGTGTTTCGTATAGGAAAAAGATCAACGAACCTCTCCTTCACAATTTGACGCTCTACCACCAATTGGCGGGCCAAGTAGCGATAAGATGGTTCCACATCGATGTACTCCTTCACCGCTTTCTTGAGATTTTCCGTCTCAATCGACACAGGAAATTCATTAAGCTGATCCATGAGTCTCTTCAACATGTCTTTATCGTCGTGAATGAAATTTTTGAAATAAAGCGTTAGCTCCTTTTTGTCAACGGCCTTGAGTATCCAGTACTTAAGCAAACAGCGCTCAAAGGTAAGGCCAACTTCGCGCGTCTCATC